CTTGAAAAAGCTTCACAGAAAGTGCATTTTCAATCACAGGCAAGGCAGACATTCAGGAAGTACTTGCATATTCATCTCATCGGGTAACAGAAATCATATCACATGCCTTGTCTGACTTACCACAGCTTAAAGATCCTGTCTCAACTAGTTTCAGTGAATTGTTTGAAAACCTAGGAGAAGGTTCAAATTGGCCATGAGGAAAAACGTTTTCATCAGCAGTGGAGTGCAGCACTGGAAGGGGTCCCCCACCGGTGTTTGGGATCTGCATCCATAGAGGTTTTCAATACCCAACTAGACAAAGCCGTGGCTGATTCAGTCTAGTATTAGCAGTAGTCCAGCTATGGGCACAATGTTGGACACGATGACTTTCAGAGATCCCTTCCAACTAACATTTCAAATGATTCTACAAGAATAAAGTTACAGCAGAATAGTCATAATGAATTATTTGAAGTAAATTGTGGCTTCACACAAGAGAATAATGTAAAGTCATTGGATATTTGCCATAAGCTGTTAACTTTAATTCAAATCTGTAAGAATACTAATGAAGCGCATTAGTGTGATGCATGTTTGATCTGTCCATAAATTTGGTAAGAAGGACTTTGATCTTCAAAAGCTTGATAGATATAACCTGGACAAATTACATCCGCACTGCAGTGGGAATTGAGCACATGTAAAACTCCAACAGGATTAAGGCAATGGATTGATTGTGGTCCCATAAAGGAGAGGAGCTGTGCAAAATATTAGGGGGAGTTATTTCATTTTTGCTAGTCACCAACTGTGTATTTTAATTTATCTTTTGAATCAATAGACAATGAATTACATCTGATATGTGACAATAAGTGAATACTTTCAGTACTGCTTGATGGGACTAGTATCTGCAACACAATAATCCATCAGAAACCACCTTTGTGAAACACTTGTGCATTTTGCTAGGCTTTGGTGAATATCACGATGGAAATCATTTTGAGGTCTCTATGTTGCATTATAATCACAACAGACCTACCTGGCAGACCAAAACCTGATCTCTTAAAACATCTGGACAGCAATCAAAGAACACTGTTAAGCAGGTATTCCCATGCCCTTTCCCACTCATTTGCTGTTCAAGAAAGAGTGCCAGAGAATTCTTTACATATGGGTTATCTTTTAGGAGTTACAGTAAGCTCCTCCTTCAGAAAACATTGCCACAGTTGCTTTTAATCCCAGTTCAGGAACCAAGCACTGAATGGTCACGAAACTTAAATGTCTTTTCACATTTGCTTGTAGATCACATAGGATAATTTAGGCTAGAAGACGCCCCTGGAGGTCATTTGGTCCAATTGCCCCCTCCAGAGTATGGCCAATTTTCAAGTTAGATCCAACTTCATGTTGCTCAGAGACTTTAAAAGCATTTTACAGGATTAATCATCATCACCACTGTCTTCTTCTAATGGCTGGGTAAAGTCGTCTTAAGGAAGACTAGTAACTTCTCAGTGTTGTGCACATTTGGGATAGAAACCTTCAAGTTCACTGAGAGACGAAGTTTTGCAGAAGATGTGAATGTGGCAGGGATTTCACCCCAGTTCCCAGGTCTACCAGTTTCACATCACTTTTTCTGGACCGTGATGAAAAGACTTCAGTGATCTGGACTTTCAGTTCACAGTGTTTTTTAAGAGTACTGAAGTTTTAAGTAAAAAGGAGTTTTTGTTCTGACTTCTGTTTTTTTTTTGTTTGTTTCTTTGTTTGCCTTGATTCATGCGACTGTAGAGTCATGGGACTGTAGGGAAGAATGATAGTCAGTACAGACTGGTCTATGGCAATGCATTGTCCAATGCATTTAATGAGCTTCCTAAGCATTCCTATGTGCCTTAACTGTAAAACCGCTTCATTTCTCTGTTTTGCTGAATTTTGATAAAAAGCAAACCCATTAATCACAATCCTAAACTTGAATAATATTGATTGTCCATGTTTATACTTCTTTTTCTCCAGACAATTAAATATAGAAGACATTATCCTTGCATAGAACTTACAAAAAAGAGCCTGTATAAATATGACTGCCAGGATTAAAGGTAAAGGTGAGCCATAACTCTTTATTTCAGCAAGATCTTGGTTACAAATTAACTTTGCTAATGCTTAGTGCACCCAGGCTTATCCCACATGTTGTTTCAGGAAATGGATCCTGTTGCTGTTCTCTGTAGACATCTTATATCATTCCTGTGCATTTTTTTATGTCAATAATATTACAGAAAATGGTATAATTAAAAGTCTCATGCAGCAAGGTAGAGATTCTGGGTAAAAGGGGAATGGGAAGACAGTTGTATAATACAATACTTTAAAATGTCTGAAATCCCAGGAAGATCTGTGTTCTTTTTAATATTTTTAAAAAACATTTTAAAATATCCTTGAGGATAGCTGGAATAATTTAGATAAGCTATTAATCATAGAAATATACCAGGCAAGGTAATCTAAGATATAAACCAGATGAGTTTGTTAGGAAGAGATACTATATTTTATTAGATGAGTTAACATATTTGAGAAAAGCAAACAAGATGTTAGATGTATTAGCCATTTACACCATGTATAAGTTTCAAATAATTTTTCAAGGACTTCTTTAACTTGGCATGTTGCCATAACTGAACCTTTTCACTTCTTCCTTTCACATTAGATCCTAAAAGATGGTTGCATATTCATTGGCTTTTTCAGTGTCAATCCACTGGGGCCTGTCAGCGAGTGCATCTGTAAAACTGGCCAAGAGTGTATTTTGTGTATGATCTTCTATGCAAATTTGCTAATTATCCCACCTTGTAGGAAGCAGTTAAGTATTAGCAGTGTGAAATGGCAAGATCATATAGGTAACTTGTAACAGCCTGGTACTTTTTTTCTGGGAAAGCAATATTAGGGCAAATTGCTGTGTATGTTCCTGTTCAGACACCCCTGATTCCCCTGTGATACATGTGAATGATACATTTGAAAGGGGAGGAGTAGTTGGGGGTAGAAGGAACACGTGTCTTCACATCTAGAGTCAGTATATTTTTATTTACTGTCTTTGTATGCAGTTAACAGGCTACTGTTCACTAATGCGCTACCTGTCAGGAACATGTTTTTTTTTTTTTTTTTTTTGAACCCATTTGAATTCTAGGCATATGTTGGCAGAGAAAATTATAGCTATTGTGTAAGTTCAGCAATGCTAAAAAAATGCTATTAGCAACTTTTTAAATGTATGAATATATATTATATTGCAAATTAAAGTTTTCATTGCTGCATATTTAGGAAATTTCTATTTCTACAACAGCGTTATATATACATATCTTTGAGAGGGATCAGAGGAAAAGTCCCTTTCTCTCCCTTAAATCCTGCTGTGCAGGGAGTGCCTCTGTAGGTCTGATAGTCAAACAGCAGCACATGTGGGTAGCACCTGAGAGGCATTTAACAGTTACCTGGTAGTGTTCACTAAGATACACCTGTGTGTGTGTGTGTGTGGTGACGTTCCTCTGTATGGTTCCTGGCAGGTAAATACTTGTAGTATATGAATTCTAAGTTAATTCACATGAAATACTGTCTTTGAAATGTAGTTTGCTTTCTTTGAAATAAACAGAAATAGTCTTGGTTAGTGGTGTTAAATATATGAGTAAGTGTTTGTAGAATTAGGTCCATAAAACAGCTGTTTCATAAGACTTTCAAAAGAGCATAAAAATTAACCAATTATAAAGTTAGCATGTTAATAGGAGAAGAGAAAAATGGGATGTTAATATTTAAACCCATTAGATATTCATAGTTAAATGTCCAGCCCTGTGTTTTCCTCTGATAGAGATCAGTAGCTAAATAGCTGCACTATTTTTCACTCCATGAAAACTATCTTTCAATCCAGCACTAATACTGAAGTACAAATTGAAGGTCTAATTAAGCAAAAAGAATTATCACCATGACCAGACTAAATTGCAATGTTTGCCAATTACGAATCATCGGTGGTGGCAAAAGGAAAACTAATAACATGGTCCAAAGCTTGTTTTCTGTTGTTGTCGTCATTTCTGCTTTGAAGTACTTTTGGAGTGAAAAATGTTTGCAAAATTTGTCTGAGCCCCTAATGTTGGGAATTTTGCAACTGCTGGTGTCCAGCAGAAATGCTTACGAGGACCTTTAGTCCAGTAAAGGCCAGTGGTGTTTTCCCCTTACACAGTCTCACAGACAGATCCATTGTGAAGCAAAAAGAGGTGTAAAAACACCTACAGAAATGGAAAAAAAATAAAATGCCGATCTTGGACTGTGGGTTATGCCCAGGAAATAGGCCCTTTCTGAACAGTTATAGGGTAGAAAATTAAGGATTTCAGGCCCCTGTTTTGCTAGGTGCACTCCTCCCAAGCAAAACCGTTTCACTGGGATCTATCTTTGCCAAACCCAGTGCAGAACAGGGCCTAAACTGCAAAGTAGCTTCTGTCTGTAACACCAATCCCTTTCAAAAAGGCTCTGTGCATAATAGGGCACCTTTTATTAGACACATAGATCAGCAGGGCCTGCCCCTCAGTGTAAATAGCAACGTATGCAGGAGGCAGTTACCTAGAAGCAGGTAAGGGCTTCAGTGGATTTCAAAGCTAAGTCATGTATCATGTTAATGTATACATAGGAGGTATATAGTGTATGTGTATTAGTAGCTGTATATATATACCCTCCAGATTTGCAAAAGACGAGACCCTGTCAGGGTGGAGGGAGCCGCAGGTCCTGGCCGCACTCCCGCAAAACTGAAAGCAGGTAGAGGCACTTCCTGCACGGCGGGATTAAAGGCAGAGAAAGGGAGTTTTCCTGCGAGCCCTCCCCAAAACCAATCAGGCCGGATCAGCCAGGCGCTGCTTCTCCCCACGTCCCTCCTACACCTTTTCTGAGGGCCCAATGGCCTCGTCCCTCTGGGAGATTGACTAGAGTCACATGAGCCGCACCGAGGGCAGGTAACTCCGCAGAGGGGAAGGGGAAGGGGGGAGAGAGGGAGAAAAAAAAAAAAAAAAAGAGGAGAGAGTGGGGAAAAAAAAAAAAACCTCAGGCTGGGCTTCTGCCATGATGTCAGAGGGAAAGAAAGCCCCAGCTTGCTAATTTCGCCTCCCAATCAGCCCCGGCAAGAAGGAGATCACCGGGACCAGGTAGAGATGCAAGCTTCTCCTTGGGCTTTTTCCCCCCTGCCTCCCAAGGAGCTCTCTCTCCTCTCCATAGCGTGATCTTGTTCTCTCCTTTCCCCTTTGATCACTTGGAGGTAGGGGGCGAAGCTTCGTGGGAGTTTTTTGTTCTTTTTGTTGTTGTTGTTCGTTTGTGTGTCTTTCTTTTTCTCTTTTATTTTTTTTTCTCTCTCTTTTTTGACCTCTGCTTTTGATTGTAGTTGTTTCCCCCCTGTGGTCATGACGGCTTCGCACAGTGACTCTTTGGTGGTGTTGTTTGGGGCAACAGCTGGTGCATATGGGGCTAAACTGGGTTCGGATGAGAGGGAACTAATTCTCTTGGTGTGGCAAGTTGTGGATCTACCCAGCAAGAAGGTATGGCTTCGGGAGCGCGCCGGGCGCCTCACCCGCACCGAGGGCAGCGGGCAGCGCGGCGCGGTCCTCCTCCCAGGGCGCTCTTTTTGTTCCCTTCTCAAGGAAGAAGTCACCTTTCAACGAAAGTCAGGCCGCTTCCTTCCCCTCCTCTCTTCTGCCCCTGTGCTTGAAACATGTGTGGATTCAAGCTCTAAGATGTCTTCTCTGGACCTGTGAAGCTTTAAAAACAAAAACCTACAGGCTCCAAACTGCATGATTTTGGGGGAAATGTCGGACCCTTTGCGGCCTGCTGCTGGAGTTGTGTTTTTTTTTTTAACCAATATTTATATTTCTTGTGGGAGAGGGGGGGGGAAAAAAAAAGAAAAAACTTAAAATATTTTATCATTTTTGGCTAATCTGAGAACGTGCTTTAAAACAATTATTAATAAGGCCTATCGCAACCAAGAGCTGCCCAAGGGCCAGAGGATTTTGAAACAACCACCACTGTCAAATCTGGGGCTCAGCTTTGCAAAATGTTCTTAACATTGTGCTGTTTTCCCCCGCAACTACCAACTCCAGCAAAACAAAGCAACGCTAAGTGCAGTACGTGAGAGGCGGCCACGTTCCCCGAGCTGAGCCCTTGGCCTTCCTGGGTGGGAGGGATGGAAAGCGGGGGCCACGTTTCCCTCAGTGAAATCCACAACTGCGCTTTCTCCTCGTGAGCCTTGTCGTGGGGGTGATCCTGCGCTTTTTGGGGTCTCCTGCCAGCTGAACTTGCTGCTTAAGAGCCAGTTCTATCACACCTCACTTTTGTCCATTGCTTTTGGACTGTTTTCAGGTAGGGACGCTGCACAAATCCCTGGTGAAAGCAGACAATTTGGAGTTAAGTGACCAATGTCGAGAAGTGAGTGGTTTAACACCAGAGGGACTGGGCAAAGCTGAGCCTCTGGACCGGGTTCTTCAACAGGTGAGGTGCTGCCCTGCAGAGCAGGGGCTATCTGGGGTGAAGGCTGGGAGCAGGAGTTGGTTAAGAACTAGAATTTGCCTTTAAATCACTAGCAAATCCTTGGTTTCAGATGTATTTATGCTAAAATTATTCCAGAAGAGACCTGAACTATCTGAAACCGGAAGCCTGGGGTTCTGAAGCAACTGCTTGCACCGTAAAAAAAATTTGAGCTGATGCTCTTAAGTTCTTGAAAGCTCTGATGTCCAATTATTTTACTCCAAATTTCTCTTACTCGAGCTATAGAAAATATATTGCTCTAATAACACAACTGAATTTAGCAGTGCTGATGAAACTTTAAAATTTAAAGCAGTATTTTTAATCAACAGGTTCACTACTGTAACATGTGCTTAACAAAAAAACTGTGTTCCAGAGGAGCTTAATTAGTTTATTTTAGTGAGTAGTAAAAGGGTTGGTTGTTTTTCTATCTTGTATTAGCTTGTTATTAAATGGAAAAAAGAATAAAATAAGAAATTAAAGAAGCCATCTGTAAACTCGTATAGTTCTTGCAGTTCAAGAGACTAAAAGTTGCCTAAGAATTTTTTAATGTGGGTACAGCACATGCATGAGCTCTTGCTTTCTCTCATTGTCTTTTATATATACTAAATGTGCTTGAATGGAAAAATACAATAGCGCATTTTTGTGGAACATATAAAACTGGCTTTCCACACCTTGTCTGAATCACTCATAGGTGTGTTTCTGCAAAAAACTTGCTTAGGCAGTAGAACAGGTTCATGTTGCAGTAACTTCTGGTGACACAGGGAGATAACTTGGCAGACAAGGTACTAACCCTCTTTGATACTGAATGGTTAACGTTTCAGTCTGGAGTGCGTGTATTTAAAACTACAAGTGTGCAACTTAAACGTGTCTCAAATTTTGTCAACGTTAGCTGCCTGTCGTTTGTTCTACGTGCACAAGTTGTGCTAGAGTCTGAGAGTAAGAGGTGATTTGTATAGCTTCAAAATAAGCCCTGAGAAAATGTGCAGCTGCAGGTTTGATCTTGTCCCAGATCTTGCACTAAAGACATCTGGAACAGCTTAGCCTAGTACACTCTGTTTACCTTTATAACAGACACACTTTAATTATACTCAATACTTTATGAGAGATTGTATCTTATTGCCGTAAATTGCACTGTAGGTGGGTGTGCTTCACCAAATAAAGGGAAATACTACCTTTGTGTGGAGATGTGGTAAAGACCCCTGAAAAACAACTTTCTTCCCTCTCCCCCCCCATTTTTTTTTCCTTTTCATTTGTCATATCCATGCAACTAAAGAATGATTTTGCTGTTAGTTGTTGGATGCTATCTATGATAAGGACAGTTCTGTTATAGGTCTTCTGGAACACTGTTTACCCAAGCTGGTCTTCCTTCCTCCTTGGGAGTTTGGGGAGAATTCCTTCATCCTCCCATTTGCAGTAATGGCAAAAAATAGAATTCCATAAGGTCTAACAGTACATCCTTTTCTGAATTTTTCAAGATAAGTCTGCTGAATATTTTAATTGCATCATGTATTTTAAGAATGAGTCAGGAATTAGTCGACACATGCAGATTTTTTTTCCCCTCCATTTATATTGCTTCACATGTTTTGGTTACCAACAGCACAGGTGGGTAAAATGGTTATTTGAAAAGGAGGAGGAAAAGGAAGTAGACCTATACCTTGATTTCAGATAATACTGTAGCGCATGTGAAACTAGCTTTCCACACCCTGCTTGGACTGTGGTAGAAAATCTGATGATGCAGCTGAAAAGTGCTCACTTGAGCACACGTCTTAATCATGTAAGTGAAAGTTTCGGTGTCTCTTCTGGCTTTTGCCTTGGGTTCCCAGTCTCTACATGTAGAAGGAAGTGAGACTGTACAAGCACAAATCCATTCTTGTATTGTGAAACTTAGAGCTTTGCTTCATAACTGGAAAATAATAGTTCAGCTAGTGCAGGCCTGGAGTTTTTTCCAGTCAAAGATCTCCTTCTATTTTTGAGTTCCACTTTCCAACAGTGATAGCATTCACCCAAAGCGTGTAATCAGGGATTTAAGTCTTCTACTCTGCTTCCAACAAAGCACTCCATTAGATGATACATTATTTCAATGGTATGTCAGGATTTCACAGTGTTACATCTTAAACACACTTGCTAGTGGAGTTTGTCTTTGGAAATGTTCTAATTTTTTCCCAGATTTTTTTTTTCCAGAATAATGTTGCAGAGTAAGGTTCTGTTTGTGCAAATAACCAAACTGTTGGTTGCAACTTATGTTCTGTGCATTTGCTGTGAATTTTTAATTGCTATCCTTACCCAGAGGGGCAAGCATTTGATTCTACAGTTACGAGTGCATTTATGGAGTCTAGCTGTATTTTCTGAGATGGTGCAATGTGCTTGATAGCTGTGTTTTGAGGGGAGGGGGGCAAGACCTGTCAATACACAGATATTGGAGAAATAGTTACCTGAAGTGGTAAATCTTGTGTCCTTTGGAAGCAGTCTGCCTAATGTACTTAGTGGAGAGTGACAGAGGTAGCAGGACATGTCTGGGTTGTTTGAACATTAATGATGAACTTATAACTGAAATCTGTTGTAGTTGCTAAGAAAAAAACATTGAGGAGAAAAATCTGAGGCTTAACATTTTTATTGCGTATATATTTGTAACAAAGTAAGCAGGAGCTCTTTGCTTCAAGTGTGTGCTTAGAGCTGTCTCAGGCCTGTAATGTCAGCTCCTAGACATGTGTTACCTGTGATCCTTAACAAGGTAGTAGTCTCCTGTGGGTTTGTCTGTTATACTAGGAAATTCTGGCTAGGTTGCATTGGTCAGACCCTCGTTTTTATTATTTATTTATTTCTCTTTAAGTAGTTTTTTACACTTCATAGTTTCCCAGTTTCCAAGATTTGGAGGGGGTAGGTAAAAAGGGTTTCCAAATTGCTCTCTATAATCTGTCAGAAATAGTACATTTTGGCTTTTAAAGCAAGTTCCCTTGCCTTTCGGTCATCCCCATGGCTCTGTCATCCAAAGCTAACATCTTCATGTGCTTTTCTGATTTTAGCTAAAGCACTTCCAAGTAAAAATAGAATACTGAGTTGAAAGTGTTGTGGATTTATTAATCCTTCCCTTCCAAACCTAAAACCTGCCTGAATCAGCATGGCTTGCCCTAAGACATATGACTTCCCTTATGCAAGGAAATATTTGCATGTCTCCCTGACAAAGAGCACAGTCTAAGAAGAGCTAATGACTTTGGAGAGCTGTCTGTGGTATTTAGCTGTAATTAGCATCTCTCTTTGAAAAATAAATATAAAGAGAGAGGTTCTCATGGGAGCGGGGCATCTTTTTGACCTGTTGAAGACATCCAGGTTTCGGCTATGCAGTACCATTTATTTAAACCTTAAACTCGCTTGGTAGACTGTCTTATTCCTACTGCTCTTTCATCACATTGTAGCTTGAATCCAGTACATCAGGGATTGAATTTAATTCATGTTTTTAACATATAAAAATGGGGCAGTGATATTTTTATTTTTCCCCTATGCAGCCAAGTTATGTGCAAATGGAAGTAATGAGAGATGACTTTCATCAGATGATCGTGATAGCAAATTCGCATTTTTCTAAAACATTTCTTCATGTTTATTGATCATCCTATTGAGTCACAGGAGCAATGTATTTTCTTGCACATCAACAAATTCAGCAGG